ATTTGTAGTTGTAATCATGACATGTTTCAAATAACGTTATTATCTTTATTGTGAATGTAAAATGTGTTTCAGTTATTTACTTATCAATTTATTTGAGTTAAATAAGATCAGTTTGGGATTACTCCATATGTGAAAAATAAACAATGGCAATTGCTAGGTAACATTTAGTCAACATTAATGATTCCTCTGCCAAGTAGGAAATTGCCCATAAAACTTTTAGGAAAACGTTTTTCACAAATGCACAAATGGTGACCTTCAGAAGAGGTCATCATATGGAATCAAGGGTAATGCGAAAATTACAATAAAAAAAAAAAAGAACAACAAACAAATTATTGTAAAAGAAAATTTAGCATGTACGATTTTATATTTTTTGTCATATTTGGGTTGTAGGTGGCGTGTTGTATCAGTTGAGTGTAATCAATCAATCAATGAGCTCATTAGTTATTAGCAAATATTTATAATTGCTCATCTTTAGTCTGCATCAGCACTAAGCCAATTCCCAGGTGTTCCCAGGTAGTTTTCTAGCATTGGAGAGGTTGAAGTTTCTACTCTGGCACATTTACTAGAATTGTGGGGAGTCATTGATTGTGTAAAGGCAGTTTGCTTTCACACAACAGCAAGCAGACATTTCACAGAAATGGAGCATATATGCTATTAGAATGAAGATTAAACAAGAATATTCTGTATTTGACATGCTGGAATAATATCTCAGAACTTATTTGTTGTCAAAAACTGCATGGGGCTTTCCTCTGGTCCAGAAATTGTAATTTTTGTTGATTCCAAAAATCTAGGGCATACATGTACCAGTCCAGTTATGAAACTGCAGTTGACCATAATGAAGTACCAGAAGCCATAGTTCAGGACAGTTTCATTGAGTTTGCTACAGGAAAACTTAAGGTCAGCCAATGTAGAAACAATGAATTAGAGCTTCTTGAACTATCCATAACCTTTCTTGGTGACATCCTTTCTCGTGGAGTGTGATTTATATCAACTGGAACATTGCATTGTGCATGATGGATGGCCAAGGTGATATGTGCCCTCAAGATCTGTATGTTTATGGGACAGTTTAAGTTCACTGGCCATGAGGAAAGAAGGCTCTGTACCATCTGCATCTTAGGGCATGGTTCACTACTCTTGATGCCATTTCTGCTCCTTGCAGTGATCTTAAATTCATTCAGGTGCCTCAAGTTCCATCTAGAGATGTGGATCATGAGTCATGGGAGCTCAAAGAAAACTACAGGGAGGAACTACAGACAGTTTAACACTTGAATGGTAAAATACAATGCTGAAAGGAGTGTAGCCCTTATTGAGGAGCATAATTCCATAATAAAGAAAGAAGAATAGAAACATTTCCTGCTTCGGGTTGTGCAAGATCATATAAGACACTTTCCCAACATCAAAAATGGGCTAATAAGATGATTTCATAGATAGAAAGGTTATCTTGGAGGGATAGATTGAGATAGCATATTTTCTTTTGAGAAAAGAAGGGTAAGAGTAAATATTTTTTTTAGTCAAGTTTACAAAATTGTTTGAGGAGATTGGATAAAGATTTATTTATTATATTTTGATGATAGTTGGATTATAGTCACATTTAAATTATGGAAAAAAAATGGGCTAGACTCCAGTAGATAGCTTTATTTTTATAACAGGGTGAGTGATTTTTGGTATGAGTTGGCATTGACATTAATGGAGGTTAACACTACCAGAGTTTAAGAAAAAAATCTATGACACCCTGAAAAATTATGGGTTAGTTTAATACTTTTTTTTTCTCAGTGGGTTTATATATAGACACGTACTTACATATATATGTTCAGGTGCAAGCAGCTTTTTACAATTAATAAATCATCCACACATATTATCACTGTTATCACTATCATATATAAATCATATATTAAAGTGCGTATGTGTTAATAACTGCTCACTACTTACCTTGTGAGCAATTTTCAAAGGCCTGAGCCTCTAGTACAAACTGTGGTGTCATAACTCACCAATTATATAGCCATGGCAGACGTGGATTAATCTTGTACAATGTGTTTATTATTTTTTGTTCTTTTCCAAAAGATATGTAAAGTAGTATAAGCTTGTTACTTTTAATAAGTTTCTGCTATAGTATTATAAAACTGTTTTCGCTGCTCAGCATTTACTCGTTTGTCGGTGAATGCCCAGTATTCCAAGACCCGATAGTCAGAGTTTGGTTTTTGCAGTATAAGTCAAAATTGAACGAATAAACAAATTCGTAGTTCACTAAATTTTTGAAATGTATAGCCGTGGATGAAAACATTTTAATATACTGATTATTGTGAACCAACAGAAATATACTTTTATATCATTGTATTATGACTAAATATTTACAAACACATTTAGAACACTACTGGTATTTGATGGAAATATTTCTTAGTACATCAAGACATCAGACCTATGTGGTAAAAATTAAAGTACAAAATTGTTATTGTCTTCCTGTACATTATACGTAGTAATTATAATGAAAATTGAAGAATTAAAAAATATTCTGTCTGCTGTGCTTTGGCAAGTTTGTACAAGAGGATTATGTGATTAAATGTCATAGGTTACTTTGTTCTTGGTGATGGCAGGTCAAAAGTGATAGTGGATGCAAGCCTGAGCTTAGCCATGTATTAGCATATGAATAATTAATTCTTAAGACACTTGAGTAAGGAAGCATATTATACTAATGTAATTATAAGTTAACAAACAACAATTTATAAACTTAATGAAGTGATTTTTTTGGGGGGGTTTGTTTGTTTTTTGAAGTTAAGCACAAAGCTACACAATGGGCTATCTGTGCTCTGCCCACCACGGGTATCGAAACCTGGATTCTAGCATTGTAAGTCCACAGACATACCGCTGTGCTACTGGGGGCATTTTTGGGGGGAATATACTACATGTTTTGACAGAACATTGGTCTGCCTTCTTCAGGTTTTTTTTTAGGAAGGGCGTAAAAACGGGGGATGATAGTGTGTGAGAGTAAGATAATTTTTTTCGTTAGTAGTGAGAACAGGGCAACCTTTTTATTTATAGGATCAACTTTGAGTAAGGTATAACATCCATCATTTAGTAAGGTGTAGACCCCTACTTTGTAAATGTTTTATCTACAACTGGTTTTCTCACTTCCAAAACAAATAGAACCAGAATTTCCAATTGTAAAATGTTACTCTATTGTAAAATAGTCATAAATGTAATATTCTAAAGGAAAGTTATAATAATCAAAGCTTAGATTCTATTCAAACACCAAGCTTTCGCTAGACAAAGTGGGGAAGCCAGTAATGTATGGATTTTTATTCTGCATGTAAAGTGGAGATGGCTTTGTCTGTTATGTGATCATTAGCCATTCAAGTGATATGTCCACTTCCATCTCCATCTTGTTTGATTCCTTTTTCAAGTTCGGTAGCCAGCCCTACATAGCTTTATTTATTTAGTGAGAATTTTTTCCTTATATTTGTATATATCATATTATTAGATCTTAATTCTTTTAAGATTTCAGTGCTGTTAAGATTGGGTTTTAATTTTGTCTTTACATCTTGAAAGTCTACAGTGTATGTTAATTCTGATTTTTTCAACTTCATTAAGATTCAAAGTTAAATAGTTAATATAGGATTTTGTGGTAGCAACAATGTGTTTCATAGGTAAAGTTACAGGTTTGACAGCATAGTTTAAATCTATGTTTAACACAAATCTGATTATCAGTGAATGGTTCACTCAAGATATCTAAAACTGAAGGAGAAAGATTAACGGGTTGGAAATTTTTTTATCAACTTCTTGAATTTCTTGTTTTGGTTGGTTTTGAAGAAGACAGACTAATGTTCTGTCGAAACATGTAGTACGCTCCCCCACTTCATCATTAAGTACCATAGTACTTAATAATAGGGATCTTGTTAAAACAAGGTGGCGGCCATAAAAATCGCCTGTTTAATTAAAACCACTTTTTAAATGTTTGAATATTAACAATGACTATTTTATAGCATTGGACGAGCAAAACTAAAGCTTATTGTACTTATAAAGCCGACTAAATCGCTATATACTTGTTTATAGAGTGAATCAAAATTTCACTATTTCATCTAAGTAAGGACTTTTCAAGACAAGCGAACAGTAAAATTTTTGAACCTTGTCGCTATAATTCTTTCACAGAACTCTTCTAGACGATGCGCTACGTTGGGCATATAATTAGATTTTAGGGTAGGTTGGCAGAAATCCTGACGAGTAATAAAATTTGATCGGGTATACGCGCGCCCCACGCTTGGTATTGCTGGCACACAAAAATATAGCTAATAAAAATGAAACAAATATAATAAAATTTTATTTAAAAAAGTAGGGATCGATATATACATAACTTAGCCAGCTGTAGTAATATAGAACGTTTTAAAGCTACAAAAAAGTATTGAAATAAGAAAGTCAAAACTACAAAAACTGAGTTACTTAAAATTAAAAACATTATCCCTACTGTGATTCAGACTAACGTAATTAAAGTGATTTGCCAAAGTAGGGATAAAACTATTTAAATTTTAAGTAACTTGGTTTTTGTAGTTTTGACTTGTTTCAGTACTTTTTGTAGCTTTAAAACGTTCTATATTACTACAGCTAGCTAAGTTACGTACATATCGATCCCTACTTGTCTTTATAATTTTTTTATACTTGTTATATTTATAAATCGTTTTTTTGCCAACTTACTATTAATTCTTAAGGCGTAAGTGACGAAGTTTTGCGTTATGTTATTTTGCCTGGTGATAGTAGGAGATTTCTGTTTTATGTTTACAGTGAATTTTCATCTTAGATATTCCATAGACTTTAAGCCTAAGGTTGTAGCTAGAAGATCGAGCTTTTAGATATTAATAGTTCAGAGTGTGCTGTAAGTTGGTTCAACGCGCGTATGTGAACTGGTCTAAAGAAATGTATACGTAGATGTTGACGTCAATACAAACTCGCCGGAGGTGTTATACTAAGGAAAATCACGTATTGCGGCATGATGACGCAAATGCTGGTGAATTTTGAGGAATTTTTAGATGTGGATGAGTAATTCAGTTTATTTGTGAGTGCTTAAATGATGAAATCTGAAAGCTTTCTTTAGTGTGAATGTTAGTGCAGTGTTCTCCAGTGATGTTATTGGTTTCTGTGTTATCTAATCTGACAACACGGAAATATTTAGGTTGCTTATTAATGGAAATACTGCAGGTGTAAAAGTGATCTCCCGCAAACGGAAAATGGCAGAAAAGAAGAGTGAGAGATACAAGATTAGTAGAAGGAGAGACGTAGAGAAATTAAGAATAGTAAATAACCTGAGAAATAAAATTACCTACGTATAATGTAACAATAACTGACATGAAGGATGTAAATGAAGATACTGATAAATATTAATTAGAAATTACCTACGTACAGTGTAACAATAACTAACATAAAGGATGTAAATGAAGATACTGATAAATATTAATTAAAATATAGCACTAATAATTCTAGCATGAAGGCTATATATATATATATATATATAATTTACGCGTTTGTATTATTGTCTGTGCAAAGGGAGTTTTATCTTCACGTGATAAGAGCGAAGCTTAATGACTGAACTAGAAGATTGACGATATCGCCAGGCCCTGAAGAGAAAAGTAGGATCAGGATTTTAACGTAGTGTTTGTGTCCTGATTTCGTGAAATTCTCTTACAGCATTTGTCAGTAAAAATAGAAACCGTAAAGGAGGAAGATGTCTGCATTACATCTGACCCTCCCATGTCGCGAACAACAACACGATCAAACACCGACCCAGACACCACGACGACGATATCGCCAATGTTAGGTCTAGTGCATAGTCAAGGCCGTTTTGCCTAGGTCTAGTTCAGTATAGTGAAATTTACCAATGAGCCTAACAATTCGGGGATCCTGGTTTGCAAGTGCTTTGTTACATTTAGAATCGGCTTTGTCATGGTTCCAAATTTGTTTGAAATTTTAACACTGAAGTTGAATAGGGCATCAAAGCCTGTACAAAATGCAATTTCCACAACTAGAATTTTCCGTTTTTACAGACCATTTGGCCAATCTAAAACTACTTAATTAAGTTTGGGTACAGTTTGTTGTCGATCAAATATTAGCCTGTTACACTTACACTGTTACAGTGGTTGATTATTGACTTAGTGACCTATAACACACTTCTTTTTACCTTTTTCAACAACCACTATGCGTAATTTCCTACAGTTTTATTGAGTTAGTGAGTTGATTTGACTGTTATTTCAATTTCGTGGATACTAATTTGATGTTTCAATAAAGAAGTAGGTAAGAGAAAATTAGTGACTCATTCGCGTAATATCTAAAGTTAGGCTTATCATTAGCTTGTGAAATGAGATTGAAAACTTTACAGAAATATGGAACAGTAAAAACAAGATCAACAAAAAAGAAAGAAAATTAGAGGGAACAGGAATTGAAGTGAGGATTTACATGAAGGAGACAAGATTTACAAAAAACATCATGAACCCAGACAACTTTGGAACAACAACAAGATAGAAAATATAGATACTGAAGTTAAATTATAAAAAAAAACAACCATAATGTACAGAAAGAATATAAATAAGATAAATAAATTCAAAATAACATCAGAAGGAAACCATGAAATAATAATATCTCAAATATTGACTATTAATTATATCCCAATAATTAATAGTCAATATTTGAGTAAAAACACTCGTAAGTAAAAAAATAATCTGAAACTTTGAAGTTGAACCTAGGACCTCTGAGTAACGAGGCTAATATTCTACCACTGAGCTATCTAAGAGTACAAGAGTATGGTCACCATACTATGTTATGATTAGGTACAAAGATCAAATCATAGAAGCCTATCACAGAATTACAATTATTTAAGGAGACAATGAAATAGTAATGTTACTATATTGTAATAAATGATATGAAATATTCCAATGAAAAATCTTGTAAATTACTGTGGCTTCAAACAAAGACCTCTGGCTTGTAAGGCCAGTGTTCTGTCACTGAACTACCCAAGAGTAAAAGTGGACATTGATGGCAACTACTTGTACTCTTTGGTAGCTCACTAATAGAGCATTGGCCTTGTTTTGGGGTTGAAATTCTGGTATTGCAGTCTCTTTTTCACTTGAGTTTTTTTACTTAAGTATTTAATATCAATGCCAGGATAAATCATTTAAAGAATTAATTTAAATGTAAGGATCAAACCAGCTGCAGTTCTCTCTGCATCTGCTAAAAAATTCCAACCTCGTACACCATTAATTAATCAATATGGAATAGAATAACCCATCTGTTCTGTACCTGTTACCACTACTAGAGCAGTGAACAACAAACTATTCATCTTTCAACAGACAGCCATACCAACTATCAGGTTGATTGCATTATCAAATAAATTTGAAATGTCCTATCAAAAGGAAGTTTCTCAAGCAAAGTTTAGAAGCAGAATAAGGAGGAAGGAAGATCTGTTAACTGGAAAGTCTTGGTCAATTACTTTAACCTGATGTTGTATGTGAAATGATGGATTCTTTGTCATGTGAACAATTATCATAGATGCCATAGTGGGTAGAGCTGGGTGAATTAATTGATTACTGTGTCATAAACTAATCTGTTAATGTTGGGATAATAATTAATTAATCAAAATTATTTCTAGTTTTTGATTATTTCAGCAGTTGATTAATCAAAAATTATGATTATATTTATTGTCACAAAAATAACCTTTCATCTGTGGGAGTGTGGTAACATAGGGGTCAAGAGTTAGTGATTAACTTGCATATGGAATGTGTTTTTTAACACCACTGCATAGCAAAATATATATCAATCTATGTCTGTCTGTTATCTAACTACTACTACTACATTGCTGGGCCAATCTCAACCAAATTTTGTGGGATGATAGTATGGAACAAGGACCATATTAATGGGGGGTGGGGTCACAACTACCCATCTCCATTATTGCTGTTATTGAGCATTTATTATCTTCATATATGGTGCCACATCTTTACGTGGAAAAACTTTTACATTTTCTATAACACAATGCACACACAGTCTCGTATATCTTGGAGAGTGCACTAGCACTCTTTGTGGAGGAATGCAAGGAAAAAAATTACTGTTACTATTGCAATAATACGTAAACTCTGCTAAAGTTTCTACTCCAAAAGCCACCATAAATCTGATATGAAATACCAATTTTTGAGTTATACCAACTTTGTACTTTTATCTGTGACCTTTCAACTTTGGCTTGCATGACATTTCTGTGACCAATGACCATCTATTAATTAATCACATGAAACACTGTTGAAGGGCATTAAAAGCTGGAGGTTGAAAGTGAGTAACAGAAAGCACCCACACCACTACTACTTCCTACAAATTCACCCTGACCATTGCACAGTCTATACTATGTTTTAAATATATACATATTAAGTTCTTAAAGCTTATATAAAACTTTTGGTGAGGCAATAATGAATACTCTAATAATATGTTATAAATAAGTTGTGTGAAAGTTAGGATTTTTGTATTATTTATCATAGCATCCACTCACGCTTTTTTTTTTAAGTTCATGATGTAGACAAAGTGCTGGTACCTTAGCTTGTATTTATATAATATACATCATATGAAGTTTGTTTTTCAGAAGCTAGCAATAATCTTTGGCAAAAAAAAAGTAGATTTGTTTTACCATTAGAAGTTAAGAAGTTTATAGATTTAATCAGTTGTGAAAGGTTTAAAAAAAAATTCTTTATGCAAAGAAAGACTGTTGAAGACTTGAAGTCAAATGTAAAACTAACAGTGTGTATAGATAGATATGTGGTTTTCCACAAAATACAAAGTATAAGATAAAGTATTATCTTATGCAAGGAAAGACTGTTGAAGACTTGAAGTCATTTTTAAAACTAACAGTGTGTATAGATAGATATATGGTTTTCCACAAAATACAAAGTATAAAATAAAGGATTATTGCAAAAATTTTAAATTTGAAAATTTTAGAATGCAGACCAAATTTAAGTTAAATTTAGTACGAAAACATAACCAAAAGTAGTCGTTGTTACCACAAAGATAACTAGCTATATTTAAATTTTATATTTAGCAAAAAAAAATAAAAATTGTAAATTTATGGTCATGAATAAAGCTAGTTATATGAATTTAGTAGATTTTTAAAAATGATTAAAAGTGTGGTTTTGTTTGAAAAAATAAGTGTTTTAAGAAAGAGAGCTTGCAATCCCAGAAATAACATAACTTGGATTAAATGTAGTTGTGAACCTTTACAAGACCACTATATTTCTGATTACATGCAAATCCAATCTTTTGCTCATTCTCTTCCATTAGTATCAAGTTTTGATGATCATTTTTAAATATGACTCTGGGATTAAGATCATTACACTAATACCAGTTGTTGTGTTAATGCAGAAATTTGCATCCCTTATATATAAATCAATTGGACAGAAAAAAAATCTTTTTACTATCATGAAATGCATAAACATTGGAAAGGGATACATTATTAAAGCAAAATGCATCTTAACTGTTTCCAGACTAGAAAGGTATCATTGATATTCCTTGGTGTTTTTGTTTTTTTTCTAATAGTAAAAATACTTAGTCAAATTGTATGAAACTAACTTACTAAATACTTATTACTTAGTTTCAGCTAACACTTTCAGTATGGGCTCGGTCCCTGGGACTGACCTCGTAACCATTTTGTGCTTGTTATAGTTTTCATGCTGTAACTTTTAAATTAGTAAGTTAGTTAACGAAACTTGGCAGATTATCAGTAAATGTTACAATGCTTTCATATGCAAAATATATATAATTTTTTTTTCTTATTAAAGCTTAAGGTTTATTAACAATGTTTTTTCATGCCTTTTTCTTTTTGCATGTTGCCTATCCATGTATGTGTGTGCATGTAACTACATCAGGAAAGGGTTTAAAATTAAAAATAGCAATAAGTTTTAAATTTGTCAAAAATTGAGAACATTATGATTGTCTTGAAACTGAAGCATAAAACTTTAGATAAAGACATAAGTTCATAATAAGCTAAATTACAAAACCATGTAGTATATGTCAGAAAAATAAAGGATAAAACTCTGAATGTGAGAAAATTGCAGCTCAATACCAGAGATGATAGTTATCAGTCTCATTATTTTTTGTCATACTGTTATTTCTTGGTGAATAATTTTTGGCCAATTTAGGATGTATTTGTTATAAGGTATGTTTTTTTTCTTTGCTAAATGAGAAAGCTTTTCCACTAAGGATTCTCATGTTGTAACTGAGCTAGCTTCATGTGCTGTGGTACTGAATGGTGGTTAGTAACAAACATAATTGAAATGTTGTTTTATATTCTTACTGGAAACTTTGTTAAGCCAGTTGAGAATTAAGATAACTAAAATCAACAGGTATCTGTTACTGCAGAAGGATGTACTGTGTCAGTTTTTGGTGTTTTATATTATACACAAATACATGTCTGAAAACACCAGGATGGCAAGTGTTCTTCAGCTCATTCTGGATAAGTTTAGGGCAGGTGTAAATGGAAGAAACGCAGTGATGTGTAGTTACTCTAGTATCAGATCTTTCTATAAAAATCTGAGCTAGTAAATCAAATAATTGTTATTTGACAGGCCTAAAACAGGTATAGGAAGCCCATTAAAAATTTTCACAATGAAGACATTGGGTTTTGTAACAAAGCTGGCCTGTTCAACTTATGGTTATCAAACAAGAGGCCTTTCTTGCAGGTCCAAGAATTGAAGTACTGTTTTCACTTTTAGTATTAAATTATTGAATGCAAAGTTGAATAACTATTGATTCTTTGTTTAGGGTGTTACCATTTTTAAAGAATTATTTTTCTGTTGTATGTTTAATTCTTGAATGTGTACAAAAATAGTTATAAATAAATGAAATTACAGAGGTTGAGTACACTATACCACAATGATTTTGGAGCCTTGCCACATCCAGTCATTCTCTGTCTGACTGTTGTGCATCTAAACAATTGCTCTGCAGCACAGTTTCCATTCTAAGAGGCATATCACTTCTCCTACCATGATTTCCATAATCAATCTAGTGTATGAGGACAGCAGTTTACTAGTGCAGTTTTAAAAGTCGGATTGCACAGAAATCTGTGGGTGCTACATTTGGTAACTTGACCAGTCTGTTTCTATATGGAATAATATGAATATTTGTTTCATTCTCCAGGTTCTTAAAGTATATCGCTGTTGAACAGATATGTTGTAAAAGCAACTTCTATACAAGACTTGTGTAGGTTTTCCAAACAGACATTTCTTGATCACATTGCATACTATTGCCTGAGCCACGTGGATGAATTTTGCTACTGACCTGTGTTTATGCAGTTTTTCACCTGTTACAAGATGTGACACTTTGCTTACTGTGGCAGGGGTAGAACTTGTTGCAGGTCTCTCTTTGAATAGTCTTGGTATTCTGAGTCGATCCATATTCCTTTGTTTTACAATGATATTAAGTACAAAGGATATATCTGTCTTAGATACTAAATTCCTGGTCTAAATCCAATTTTATGATTTGAGTGTATGAACATATTGTGTCAGAAAGAGCTGTTATATACCTTACCCAAAAGTAATCAGTGTTTGGTGGTACAGCAAAATCCCCTTTTAGCAAATAGGAGATTTAATGATAATCCCTTTTTTTTTTGAAAATCAAAAAATAATGAGAAAGATTTCAAAGAATAAAAATATTTCAATGTGGCTCTCTCTAGTTTCAAAACTGGTTGCATCCCATGCCTAGAACTGTGCTGTGGCACACACTTGTTTACTTTCCTCCCAAACATTTTGGACTTTTAAAAGTGCTCAGCTAATGTCTCTTGTGCATAAAACTGAGTGTGTATGTGTTAATTTACTGCACCCTGGAGTCAATAGTGGCAGCCCAAAACCACTTGTTGGATTTCATGTCCTCTACAGCATAGTCTACTTTGAAAAAGAAGCAAGCAACATTAACAATGAGTAAGAAAATCTAGATTTCATGCCATCTTGATGCTGGTGAGGCAGCAAACAAGCTTGTTGGTGAGTATGACATTGGAACCACCACAATCTATGAGGTAAAGGCATGGAAGGAACAGATATTTAAGTTTTTTATCCTGAGATTGAATCTAAAAAAGGTCTTGTACAACAATAGAATATAAGGAAGTCAAAGAACTGGACAAAGTTATTTTCAAAAATGGCAGTGAAGTGAAGATAAGCTGCTTTTTGAACCACTTACGGAGAAAGTCAATCAGTTTTATGACATTTTTGATAATGAAACACCATGTTAATTCTCTTTGGTAGCTTAATTGTTTTAAAGACCAACATGGTATTTGCAAACTTGCTTTTGCAGGAGGAAAGTGTTCTGCTAATCATGATAGTGCTTCCAAAAAATGTAGAAAATTTTGAGAAACTAGTTGATGAATGTAACCTTATTGCAGAGCAAAAACTTAAGCAATGAGACTGAACTCTTATTGGCTGTGTTTGCCACAAAAACAACATTAACAGCAACTGACTATAACACACAATGGGTTTTAAGGAGGCTTAGGATGGTGTGATAGTGTTGCTCTGTGCAAGTGCTGCAGGATAAAAGTGTAAGTCTGTTTATTGGAAAAAGTTGTCATCCTCATGTTCTTAAGAATGTCAAGCATTTGCCAGTGATTTATAAGAGCAGCATAATGCTTGGATGACACAGGATATCTTTCAGGAACTATTTGATCATTCTCTGAAATATCAAGTGATAACCTGTTATTGATAGGTTGGTTTACCAGAAGATAGCAAAGCCATCCTTGTCCTAGATAACTGTAAAGCACATCTTAATGCAGAAATGTTAACTAATGAAAATATCTTCACTGTGTCCCCACCCTCAAATGTAATGATTTTTAATATGGCCTGTGAACCAAGGCATCATTAGCAATGTGAAGCATGTTATTTTCAGTAATTTCATGGAATATGTTCTTGATAATGCAGGTAAAACTGGTTATATTGATGCTTTTCATAAACCTTACAACATGAAAAATGCTGTATGTGATTTAGATGCTGCCTAGGGTCATGTTGCTCCTGAAACAGCACAAAAGGTCTAGAAGAACCTGTGAACAGCTGTTATTTTTTATTTTAAGCCTGAGGAATTTGAAGGTGTTGGTATAAATTAAAAAAAAGTGATTACCACTCAAGGAATTAGCAAAGAGTTTGGTATCATTGAAGGATAGTCTGTGTATGAGTGGATAAACATTGATAATGATGACCCTGAAACACATCGTATGTTTGAAGGGCTTGATGAGTCTGTTATTGACCCTCCTACAACAGTATCAGAATATTCTGATGATGACAGTGCAGCTGAAGTGCCAAAAAAAATCTTTAGTGATTCTTTGGAAGCAATAAAGGTTCTCATACAGTTTTGTGGATCTTGCACTAACTGTTCAGGATAAGCATAAATCGTTGAAGCAAATCATGCTGCAAGAACTCTTCCTCAAAGCTTCAAAGTCAGATCAGATGTGGAACTTTTTTTGTCTTTAACAAGTGGTGAAGATGCAGAGCTATTGGCCTTAATTGACACTGATAGTTGCACCACCCCTCAGTGATTATGTTGAAGACTGTAGGAGGACTTGAGGAGCAGATCTTCAGCACTTACATAAGAATCCCTAAGTGCTGTACAGTTGAATAAATTTCAATAATTTTTTTTGTAAATGTTTGTTATACATTAAATATTAATGTTTTTTTCTTTATTTGTATTATTCACTTTTGGAAGTAGACAAGGAAGATGTTTTAATAAGTAAATATAATAATTGATTTTAATAGCATAAAACAAATCATGGTAAATAACAAAAACTATCTTCGATAAATAAAACAACATTGGTAAAGTTATGTAATGTCTTTCCTTTGTCTGCATTTTGTGTTTGTAGTACTGGGGTCATTTTTAGTTTCTTCAAAACATTCATAACTACGAAAGGAGCTTGGTCTGGATACCTTTCAGCAAAATAGGATTTATCTGTATCACATTTTACTCACAAATGTCAAACAATGTCAAAATGTACTTATACCTTCCATCTCAGTGTGACTTTATATTAGTTGTGGTTGTCATATGACTTGGTTTAAACATTTAAAATTGTTTTAATATAAGGTACTGAACTCTCTATATTGCAAGATTCTGAGAGTAGATAAAGTTATTATAACTGTGATTAACAACATTGTTTTGCATGTTGGTGTGATGCCGGCTTTGTGAACCCCACGTGAGTTGTATGGTATACCTTGGCTAAGTGTCAGGAAATGGAGATAGTGAGACCACAGTTTCAACTTGTTTGAGTTCCAAGATATTTAGTACATAAGCCAGCAAGCTATAAATTTTGCCAATCCAGGTGCTTGGCTTAGATAAACCAGTTTCTGCTCAAATAAAGCATTTGTTTTCACTTTTGAAAATGATTAAACTAAAACTCACATATAATTAAAATATGTTTCATAATTAAAAGTAATTGAAAAAATAAGAACATGACAGAAGATTTATACATATAAACAGGATATATATATATATTTACCTTTAATATGTGCAACAATTGATTATTTATAACACAGCTACAGTGGGGGGGGGGGGGTAAAAAGCTTACTTAATAAGTAAGTAAAACTTACCAAAATAAATATCTGAAACACTTTCTGTACATGTTTTAAATGCAACATAAAATGTTATTTAAGGATGACAAGGTACATGTTCATAAATCTAGGCCATCCCATCCACTAAACTAAACTTAAAAGCATTTAAAGCCAACTCTCATCATTCAAATATTTATCTAGTTTTCCCTTAAACACGCTTAAATTTACTGCATCTACCACAAAGGCCAACCATTCTGTAGAAAAAATAACTGTCTTAGATAAAGATGACTCCTACCCTGCCAAAATTTATATTTGTCCCCTAGTCCTATCATTATTACCATTAAGTACGAAAAAAGATAAGATAACAATATTAAACACCTCACTCGGATCCTGTCTCTAACTCTTCGTTTGTTCAAGAGAAAACAATTTCATAGAACTTAACCTGTCCTTGTATGACAACCTTTCTATTCCAGGTATCATCCTGGTACCCATCCTCTGAACTCTTTTCAACAATTCAGTGTCCTTCCTAAGGTGAGAAGCCCAAAACTTGACGCGATACTCCAAATTTGGCTTAAGCAGTAACCTATACAATAAAATTATAACATCTTTAAACTTGTATTTAATATCTCTGTATATATAATCTACAATCCTATTTGCCCTTTCTCTAACATCTCAATTCTTGTGTGATTTAAAAGACTGATCAACCAGAACACCAAGATACTTTTCTTCCATAACACTGGTAAGGGTATTCCCATTAAAATTGTAATTCAGCTTATGATGTCTCATGTGCATTTCCTTGTATTTATTATAATTAAAAGTCAACTACCATTTATTTGCAAACTTGCTAAATAATCCAAATCCCTTTGTAAAGCAGCACCCTCCTGCTCATGGCATACAACACCTAAGACCTTAACATCATCAACAAATGTAAGTAATTTATTAACCATGTTATTGATATAAATCAAAAAGAGCGAAGGTCTTAATAATGAGGGCTGAGGTACCCTACTCATGACATTAATTCAGTTTTAACTTATTTTTATTTATATACCCTCTGCTTTCTTCCATCCAGCTAGTTTTTTTTTATCTCTCCCCCCCCCCCTACAGAGAGAACTTTTTCAGTATGTCTTTTATGCGACACTCCAGATACAATAAATTCAAACCTTTATTTTTATCTACACAAGCAGTAACCTTTTCAAATAATGTCAAAGATTATTAAGGCAAGATTTTTCCCTAGTGAAACCATGTTGACTATCCAATAAAATTTCAAACTTTGTTAAATGAATTTGCAAAGCATCTTTTATCAGACTTTCAAAAACCTTTTCCACCACTGATATGAGACTAACAGGCTTATAAGTACTGGGACAAATTTTACCACTTCCCATTCATAAATAGTAGCAAGCAGTTCACATATCCAATTCTTAACCTCTTTCAGAATTCTTGAGAAACAATTATCTGGCCTAGGAGCTTCTTCATTCTTGGAATTTACCAAATTTTTTTTCTCAACAACCTCGGAATTAATTGTGATTATCTTGTTCAGTTTTGTTTCCATCCAACAACTGATCAGGAATGCTTAAATCTTCATAAGTAAAATTTGAAGAAAAAGAATAATTTAATAACCCAGCCATCTCGTAATCATCAGATATGAGCATTCCTTTATCACTAAATAGTTCTACTCACATTAACTTACCCATAAATATTTTAAAAATCTCTGTTAATTTTTGCATTTTCAGTCAACCTTTTTTTTTTCATATACCCTTTTCAATTTCCTAACTTCTGTTTGACAAAATCTCTTGGTCTTCTGTAAACCTCCAGGTCTCCTGCTGTAGTTTAAACTTCTTAAACTTATAATGCATTACTATAATTTTATCCTTGTAACCTTTGTGAGCCAACCTTTGTTTTTTTTTTTTTTTTTTTTATTTTTTTTTTTTTTTTGCAACCATAATTTTCTTTTCTATAATGAGTATTTAAAATTTATTTCAAAAAGTTTTCCATATTTGAGCAGTATCTCCAATTAATTTGGTTGCCCAGTTCACAACAAATAATTATTGTTGTATCCCTTCAAAATTTGTAACTAGAACCTTATATCTGATCACCATATGCAATTAAACATCAAACCTAATAGAACAATGATCACTTGTATCTAGATGTTCCCATATCTCCATTCTCATTTTCTATATTAGAAGTTAACAGTAAATGTAAAATAACATTATTTCTGATAGGTTCCCTGACCAATTGGTAAAGAAAACTATCTTAAACAGTTTCTAAAAAACTTCTCTCTCTCATGACTAACATTTCCTGTTCTTTGTACATAAATTGTAAATTATCCATAATTATAATCTCATTAACAACTAACTTTTAATCTCAACGTAGTTACTCATTAATTTTGTCAGTTTTAACTTGTGGCTTGTAACAGATACCAACTAAATACCTTATGCTATAACTGCTAACAGAAACCCAAATAGATACAACCTCTTTGCTAGTAGCTTTGATATCCTTAATTTTGAACAGGATATAACTCTCATTTTACAACAAAGCCACTCCTCCTTATCTTTTAATATTCTCTCCCTATTAGATAATTTATAACCCTATATTTCAAAGAAGTTTCTGTAATTAAAATTGTGTCATTTATCCAAGTTTGGGTTATTTCTCTCATATAAAAATCCACAGTTCTGACTAATGTTCTAAAGACATCTACTTTTTCTTATACTTCTAGCATTGCAGTAAGAACAGCTTAGCCTACCCTAAAACCTATTTCTGTGGTTTCTTCCGACACTACTTTTCTCTGCATCTTGTTTTTTCTTCATTTAGCTCATTCTGGCTCTCATCACTGTCTAGTTCTAAAGCTGCTCTTACAGTTTTGTTAATAGCCTTTGCAAACAAGCCAGTCCATACCCTGTTTAAATGTAAACCATTCATTCCAAAAAGCTTTTTTTTCCTTTTCTAACCAATAAACCTGCTCATTGTTGCTTATTAACCTAAGTTTGGCATTAGGCCCTAGTGACTTACTTATAATTTCATCTCCACATTTATGTGTTAGTAGTATCCCTGACAGAATTAAGCTACATGAACCTTTCCATTTAATGCCTTTATCAATCTTTTGTATTTAAAAGTACACCTTTCCCTATATCATTAGCCTTACAAAAAACACTACAAAAACTGCACCACTGCTAACACCCTATACTATATCGCATACTGTGCCGTTGTTGAATTTATATAAAAAAAAACATCCTAAAGAAATTGGTATTAACCATTTCAAGTGAAAATGAACTTTAAAAAATGTTACAAGTATATTTACAACATTATTATCAAGTCTAATCTTTGTTTTTGAACTACCAGAAATGTTTAACATATTGTATAGATACTTTATGTATGTTATTAAGTGCAGTAACTAAAAAATCACTAAATTTTGAGGAATGTATTTTTCTTAGTTATATTTTTAATGTATATTCAAATACTGTGTAATTATAAGAATTTCTGAGTGAAAGTAAAGAAGAACGTGTAGTGAAGTATCAGCCATGCCATATAAACAGTGCTGATGAGACATTTTCTTTAGGAGGGCTGAGATTCATCAGACATCTCAGTGATTGAAACATTGCAAATTGCTTGGCAGAACTGTTATGGTGTGAATTGTGAAATGTATTAAGTAGGTATAGTATAATTTATTAATTTTGTTTATGTTACTGCACATCAGAATTAAGGTAATGATATTTTAACACATAAGTTATTAACACTATTTTAATACTAAATTAATTTTCATTATTACTTTTACTTAAGTTGACTTACTTGTAAGTTAAACACCATAGCCCTATAAAAGTGACTTAAATCAATTTTTATAGAGAATTGGTTTTTAATCATGTGCCTTAAGAAATTTTTTTATATACATGTATATAAAATATTTAGTATGGAAGGTCAGACAGCTACAGAGTTGCAGTCACTCCAGATGTTCCTGATGATGGGAGAACCCCTGATGGAAAGCCTAAGTCCCAGAAACAAAAGAAGGGGAAAAAAGGAAAACCTGATCTGGAAGATCTCAAACAGGAAGTTTCAATGGTTTGTAGTCTATGTTAATGTTGCATATTAAAGATTTTGTTTTTTCACTCTTGTGGTGCTTCAACTTTTTTCAAGTATGAAATATTTTGTTACTTAAAGTAGAAATTGTAATTGTATTATCTGATTGTTTTTCTTTATTTTGCAAGGGCAGATGCTAAATGTAATGAATTCTTTCTTGTTCTATATCATTCTGTCAGAATAACTCCATATGGTAATTTTTTCCTCCTCTGTTTGTGGTGGTTTATAGGTTTTTCCATAAATGGAAGTATAATAATTTGATTTTAGATCATACATTCAAAGGTCTTAAAATAGTAACTATAAATACTATTTTTATTCTGTTTTAAATGTGATAACAAAGATTAAAAGTAGTTTTGTATTTTTTTCAAAAGTGTTGTAATTTGGTTAATGTTTTTTGCAGGATCAACATAAGATTCCAGTTGATGAATTACTGGGCAGGCTGAATACCAACTTGGATAGGGTTTGTACAAGTTTTTGGTATTTTAACAAGAATTCATTTATAGGAACTCCTATGAAGTAGTGTGCCCTTTCTGTAATGTATACAATCTTGTATAGATTACTGATTTGTTGAATATATATTTAGTAATAGGTTTACCAGTTGGATAAAATAGGTAAATAACTATGTAATTAAAGTGTTTGATAGTATTAGGAACAAAAAGTATAATAATAGTTGTCTAATTTATGTTGGGTTATGATGTGTATTGAAATATGGTGATCACATCTGAAAACAAAGGATGGATTGTAGTGTTTGCATTTATTTTGTTTAATGACAAATCAAATTGCTGTATTGGTACATTGAACACAGTTTGTAGCAATAAGTGACAATGGTAGTATTGTTTCTACTACAATTGAAGCTCAAAGAGCCTTTTGTTAAGACTTATGTTTCTGAAATTCTTGTTGGAATCTTGATGGTTATTGAAGTTTGTAGTTTGAACATAGCAATAGAATGAATAATATCAATGACAAAAGATTTTTTTTATATATAGCAAAGACACATAGAAGGTATTGGAACATCTAAGCACACTTAAATAGCAGGAATTCCTGTTGCAGAACCACAACTTGTTTTATTCTGTTGTCTACTGCTGTGTGTACAGTTATTACCATGTGTTCAAAAATTTTGAATTAATTCATTTAGTCCACATGATTGATACTATAGGTGTAAATTATTAGGCTTACTCTCAGAAGGGTTTGAAGTACAAAGATGATGGAAACATTTAGTAAGGGATCAAAAAATGACGTAACCAGTTCCATATGTTTCAAGCTCATACAGATCTTACCACCCACCATCATCTTACACATTTAATATAACTTGCAAAGGAAAATGAAAAATTGTTCAATCTTACATTTCTACACACCTGAGAAGTCTTGCCTATAAATGACATGCTTTACTGCTTTTTAAGAATTTCTCTATCCACCCCAAGAATTGGTTTATATTTGCTAAGAAACTGTCATCTCTTGAGAATGTAATCATCCATATTTTGGAGGAGAGAACTGGAGATTGTCATAAAGAACACTGGCTCCCCAAAAGTAAGTCTTTTAGGCAGAAATATGACAACCTAGACAACAGCAAAAAGAATTAGATATCCAAGCGGAGATATCTTCTAAAAGGTACGGTGACTAGAATGCTGAAGACATTGATAATGGCAAATCTATTGAAAGGTAATCCTAAATTGACCTTCAGGGTATTATGGTAAGCAAGACTGTTAAATTGCATAAGCCAATTTGTCAGTATAACCAGAGCAAGATCTGAGGAGTGTGATTTGTCATATAGTTCTGAATGATTCAGTAAGAACAAAGTAACAGTGAATAGCCTTTACTGGACATTAAAAAGAAAAGTTTGTTAGAACTAGCATAAGGATTAGACGGGGCAGGCACATAATGGGTGAAAATCAATGGTTGCTTTTTCTTGGAGCCAAATTTAGGAAGTAAGGTGCAAACTAGTTGCAAGTACAAGGTAACTGATGCTTCAAGGGCATAAATATTGGTATGTTTTGTGCCTAATGCAACTTATTACAGAAAGTATTTTGTGATAGATGATAGAGTGGACAAATTGTGAAGGATTTGAAATGGAAACCAAAAAATATAAGAGACTAAGCCCATCTCTTGCTTAGTACTGAGTCCATGAATTTTTGATTGTTGAGGACGAGGGCTTGGAAGAGATCTTTGAATGATATGGACAAAAGAGATTGGTGGCATCTGAAAGTGGTAGACAAAGCAGCTCTGTAATAATGTAACAACCTCTGGAAGAAGCCATAGTGAAGACAGAATCAATTTTTTGAGGAGTTAGCCAAGAAAATACTGTGTATGATGCACAAACTTTGAAAGGGAACCCAGTGTGATTGATATTTTTCTAGAAAGTGGGTCTCTTGTTCACAACAATATTGCCACCCAAGCAGATATTGAGTCAACTCTTTCTGAAAGGGTTAAGCTCATGCTCAAATTCATTCAATAAAAAAAGAGCTTAAGTCCTGAAACCATTTTTTTTAATTCATCTGTAAAATTGCTGATATAAGTATGATTTTCTTATTGTAACTTTAGGCTTAATGTTATCCTCATGGTTTTACTAGTTCTTAAAAATGTTATATGTTAGTTTGATTCAAAAGTGAAAATTTTGATTTTGTTCTAAAAGGAGAAGATGATTTAAGGGTTCAAAATACCCATAAAGAAAATTTTTCAAAACAGTCTAAAATAAACCATATGCCAAAAGATATTTTTCACCTGAGTGCCATTTCCCAAATATTAGTCACTTGGGATTTATGACATCGTAAACACAGAATCGTAAATTGCACACTTGTACAAATTCTGAAATGTAGGCCAACGGGATTATTATTTCTCTTGGGAAGAACGTTAGCAAGAATGGACTATTGAGTAGCCAGTATGTGGACAAAACCATACATTGCTTCTAAAACCACTAGTTATTTTGTTTTGCCTTTCACTTTACTGCATCTGTTTTATCTGTAATTAAAAATATAATAGTCTTCCTCAAAATACTTCTCTTAATTTGACTGTTCTTGCTTTTTAACCTTTTGTTGTAAGTATAAGAACATATGGTAGATATTATCATAGTTGCTTAGAAAACTGTTATATTTCAGAGTAAATTATTAAAATGGACTTAATCAACATTAATAATAAACAGTTTGTAGATGGTTATTGAATAGGTATATAATTTCATGGAATAAGTTTTTTTTTCCAAATACTGTATGAATTTTTGGCATTTCTAGGTTAATGTCATTGCTTGAAAATGTTTAATTTGTTTATGCATTGAATGTAGGAGAGAAAAATAAGTTTTTAACAAATTTAAAGCACTTAATTTTTTCTCCAAATAAATGCTGATTTAAGAATATTTGGTTTTCCCATTTAGGGACTCACGTCACAACAAGCCAGGGAGGTTTATGAACGAGATGGCCCTAATGCTCTTAGTCCACCTAAAACAACACCTGAATGGGTAAAATTTTGCAAACAACTTTTTGGTGGGTTTTCCATGCTGTTATGGATAGGTGCTGTTTTATGCTTTATTGCCTATTCAATTCAAGCAGGTACTTTTGAAGAACCTCCTGATGATAATGTAAGTTTTCTTTCTTTGTTTTTAGTTTAAGTCTTAGTTTTCTAAAATAAATATCCTTGTACAGAATTCACCCTGATATCTGAAACCCCACAAAGTTGTGGAAAATGACCTCTGAAAATTCTGTAATGGAAAATAACTTAAGTTGTGATTCTGGAAAAGTCCTGAAATTTCAGTTTAAATACAAAATTCGTGATGATTTAACCAAACTTTGCTTCTTCTTCTTTTTATCATAATTTAGTTTATATATATTTCATATTAACTACTATGAATTGTGCTTTATAGATCCACAACTGTTGAAATTTCTGCTGGCTAACATATTTGTTAAATAAAAATGTCAGTTTATTCCTACATGGCAGGGTTCAAGTGGAAAGTTGCCTGTAGATCATGGAGAGTATAAAGTCTTTATGAACCCTATTGTGGTTTTAAAAATGATTGATTCTTAGTGACCTTGAGTACTGGGAACTATTACACACTTTGGAAACCTGGCATTCAGACATTTGTAATTTCAAAGCATAACACAGATTACTGTTAACTGTAACCTTTGTCAGCATGTCCAATTACTGCACATATTCCTTCAAAGGTAGTTACTGATAATCATTATTTTAGTTATAGGTTATTATTTTATAATAACTAAAACATAATACAAACTCAACTATATAACCTTTTTCAATTAATGTTATTGCTCTATGTTTTCAGTCTTTTGTATTTTTTCTACTTTTTCAAGAATCTGAAGGTTTGGCAGCCACAGAGAGCAAACTTAAATTTTTCTTCTCTTACTTTGTTGGAAAATAGTATGTTTTACTTTTGTTTTTAGATCAATTATTTACAACAACTCTTAAATTATAAAACAAAAGTTTTTCAGATGAAGTGTATCAGTACCATCAAAATTTGACTATGTACATCTGCTGTGCATAGTGTTTAACTCTACAACACCTGTATGGATGCATCTCACCTTGAAGCCAAAAACTGCATCATTTGATTAAACAAATTAGAAAATAAACTTTTTTTTTAATTTTATACATTTTGGTTTTGGGTTGGTTTTAAGCACCCTCCAAATGAAAACATTATGTTTGTGATATTCCTGAATTTTTTATAAGCATATGGCACTTTTAGCCCTATAGAAAGAAATTTAAAATAATTATTAACAACAATGCTAATTTGAACTGTTTCTCGTCCTAGGGTGTCATAGTATTACGTAATTACTTGTATCTCAGCTTTGAGGAGACATTACTCAATAAGCATTGTGTATCTAAGATAAACATTGGAATAAAGTCCAAATACATCAATAAATAGATGTGAAGTGATATAATTTAAGGATAACGTATATTTTAACATACCTACTTTTCATTTAAAATTTTAAGAACTGGACATTTGTTATATAGCTCTAATTGAATGGAGTTTTATTGTTGTTCTACAGCTAATATTGATAACATATTTTTCCAGCTTTTCCTGCCTCTTGTTTTAGTAATATAATGTCTTCAAATTATACTGTGGAAGCTTTTTTCAGTACTAGAACAAATTTTTGTTAGCTAATTTAGACTGATTATATCTAAAAGTGATATGTGGTAGATAATTTAAAAAAAATTAAATTTTTGTATTCCTTTCACAGTGAATCTTTAAACATCTACAGTTTTTGTCTATGCCTAAGAGCTTTTATGCTATGCAGGTTAAACTTTTAATACTGTTTACCAAAGCACTTTATTCTCCATTAAATTCAGTGTGTGAATTTCTGTAGTTATTCAAAAAAATCTTTTACATAATTATTATTATTTTTTGTTTGTTTGCAGCTGTATTTAGGTATTGTGTTAGCTGTTGTAGTAATTGTCACTGGTTGTTTCTCATACTATCAAGAAGCTCGTAGCTCTAGGATTATGGAGTCTTTCAAAAACATGGTCCCTCAAGTAAGTTGCTGTGTGTCTTAATATGTACAATTATATTGGAAGATTAGTGATTATTTCTAAATAAATAAACTTTGACAATTATCTACAATTTGGACTGAACACATTGGAGGATTAATATTTTCTATAATTACAAATTAACCTGGTGTATCTTCATGAAATTGGGTAAGCTTTTAGTAAACATTACAAGTATGTTGTATACAAAAAAATTATAATTTTT